TTATCATTATATTTATACCTCATTAGCTTATTTTGGCTTTCATATTCATTTGATAATTCACAATCTTCATTTTTAAATTGAAGTTTAACCCATTCAGGATTTAAACAATGTTTAATTAATCGCGGAATATCTGACATCATCTATATATAGCTTCTTTTATAAAAGATAAAAAATAAATTATTTTAAAATTAATGTTAATTTTTTAATGATTTATAAATAAATATATTTTAATGCATCGTCTATATATAGATGTAACAAAAAAAGTCACTAAACCCGTCATATCCTACTAGTAGTAGGATAGGATGGGTTGTGTGACTTTTTTTGTAAACGTAAGAATTCACACGATATTGAACGATTTTGTATCATTTTTTTTAACATATGAAGTAAAAAAATGTATGATTCTTACGGTTTTTATTCTTACGTTTTTGAATAAATCAAGATTTAAAAAATTTTCAAATCGTAAGACATTTACACTCAACCCATAAATGATGTAATGAAATAAAAAAAAAGAAGCTATATATAGATGATGTCAGATATTCCGCGATTAATTAAACATTGTTTAAATCCTGAATGGGTTAAACTTCAATTTAAAAAATGAAGATTGTGAATTTTTAATTTCATGGAATCAATGGAGTCTAATCAAAGACCTCATAAACGAGAAAAAAAAGAAATTAGAAACTAATGATTATTTGAATTTATGAAATCAATTATTTGATTCATTCTTTCTTCAATCTCTTCTATTCTTTTTGTTAAATCATCTATTTTCATTAATGAGGTGATTCTTGATTGAGGAATGATTTCAAACTAATCACCTTTTATTTTTGAAATTTTGAATCCATCAACTTTAAACATTTTATTCAATTTACATGTTGTCAATTCTTCAAATAATTTTTTATTATTAGCATAATAGTCATTAAATTCTTCAACAGATGAAAAAATTTTTATTTCAGTAATTGGTTTAACAACGTTTATTTTTTGTTGAACATCTCCACTTTCATTTATTTCATCCTCCTTTGTTTCATTTATTTTTAAAATCGGTTTCATTTATCATTAAATAAAAATTAGAATATAAGTGATGAAATATATTTTTTAATTAATATTAAATCAGAAATGGCTGCAGGATTCTTTAAGAAACTGTGGGAAGGAATTAAGAAAGCTGCAGGTTGGGTTCATCAAAAGATTATTAAACCCGTTGCAAACTTTTTGGCACCAGTAGCGAAAACGGCAGGAACTATCATAGGTGGTGTATTAGGTACTAAAGCAGGTAATCCGGCGATGGGAGCACAAGCGGGTAACGCAATTGGTGGAATTGCTGAAGGAATACTTAATAAAATAGGAGGTAAATAGTGGAAAAATAAATAAATATTATTTTTATCTTAGTATCGGTTGAAGTCTTTGATAAACTTTTTCTCCTTTATTTAAAACTTCTCTTATTGGGGCAGCTTTTGGCGTTATTGATTCAGCAACGTCACTAATTGCTTCTTTATTCTTAAATATCCATTTGCTCCCTTCTTCATTGTTTCCCAACTTTATGCGCTCCTCTTTTTACTTTATTCCACAGTTTCTTAAATATACCTGCAGCCATAGTTGATTATTTCATTAAAATTAAAATTCATTTTCATCTTTTAATTTTGATTTTTTATTTATTAATAAATGACGACTAACTATTTGGTGCCAAACACTAACCGATTAATGGAAATGTGTTTCATTCATTCGAAAGATAAATGAAATATTCGCAAAGAATGACGGTAGAAGATATTATAGAGAACTTGAAAGTTCATGCTATGACTCTGATGCTCCATATTTTGATGATAAAAAACTCATTTAAGAATTACAAAACCCGGCTCATGATGTGAACCAATTAGGTGACACATATATTAAACGCAAAGTTAAAGCAACTCTAGTTTCAAATAAAGCTTTCACATGTGATGCGCTTTTAAATGCATGCGTTATTCGTTGGTTACAAATCATCAATCAAAGCTTTAAACAATTAGAAGTAGAAACCGAAAGAGGTGATGCCGGTTATCTTCAGATGGATTGCGCCCGTGAATCTTTCGCATTTGCAACATATAAACCAAAATCAGAAAGGAAAGTTAAAAAGTTTGTTCATTCGTTATATAATAATGTTCAAAAATATGATTCAGTATGTGGTAAATATATTGACCCTTCAGAAGTTTTCAAGAAAGCATGAAGAAGTTGATATCACTTTTGATATGATTATTCCGGTAAATGATTTGTTAGCATTTCAGGCGTTCGATGATTATCCTAAATCATTTGGTGATATCATTCTTAAATATTATGTTTTCAGGGATACTTTAGTATTTTGTCAGGTTGACCCGTTAAGAGTTGCTGATTTACAAAATTACGTTTATGAAAAGATAACTGATGAAAATTATGAAAAGATTATGAATCATGTTTATAAATATGATCGCAAATTCCAACAAATCGGACTTCCTGCCAAATTAATTACAAGCTTAGCCGCTACATCTGCTGACGCAACAGTTGATGACGTTATTATTTCATGCACAAAGATGGAAGTTTTAGAGGATAAATGCATTACACCAGGATACGGTTTTAATTGAAGAATCAGTTAAAGCAATACCACGTTTATTCAGTAAGGAAGATCCATTCATGATTCCAGCTCAACATATTGACGTTCGTTCACTAAATGGAGGTTGCATCACTCCTGAAGGTATTAGCTCAGATTTCTCATACGCTCTTCATAATGTTACAGATGTTGTGTTAACATTTCAAAGTGCAATGCAAAGAACGGTTTTAGAAAATCCAATGCTTCGAGGTCTTCAGGTCACTATAGATTCAGAAACTTCCCCGATCAAGCGATGACCACAGTGGGTGACATATTCTTTACACGTATGCTTCAAGCTTCTGATTTAGATGGAGTGAATGAATGCACGGAAGAATACGAGGACTCATTAACTAGACCACTGAATGATGATAATGGCACGCCATTAGCTAGAACATGGAAAGACCAAACTTCATTCTTATGCACTATTCCAGTTCAACGTGATGGAGCGGGTATAATTCTTTGATGGATTAGAAACTTTCAATTCACAAGTTACAGTACAAGTGAAAGCTTATCCAATCATTCAGGGTGAAAATGACACTTACTGTTCAAAGGTGACAAATCCTCCTCAGGTTTGGTTTACTAGGACTACGTATTGGACATGGACGGACGAAGGTTTGAAATATCATCCAACAGGTACACCACCACAGTATAGAAGTTCATATGATGAAATATTGATGAATAGAAATGTTTAAAATTATAAATTTATTTTTGATTAAATGGATTTAAATTCTGAAGAATTAGCAGGAGTATATAATACATACGTAGATGATATGATTAATGAAGCATTGAGTGATAATAGAAATGCTCTATCTAAGGAAAAATTAATGAAAATTCCATATTCTGAATGTTATTTAAATTCAATCACTGCAGCAATTGGTAAACAAAATAAAGGTAAAACATTAACGATATTAAAACAAATTATCATTATTGCTAAACTCCCCCTATTCCATGTGTTTAATTTATATCAACCGTTCAGGTTCACCTTCAGATGATACATTTGAATCTTTAAAGCATTTAATCAAAATTCCAATTATTTATTTATCACAAGAAGAAGCAGAAAGATTATTTAAAACTTTTTAATGTATAAAGAATTATATAATAAATCAAGAAGCAAGGATTAGAGGATAAAATTATTGATAAACAACGGATGAATTATTTGAAACACTTTCTATATTTCAAATTTTGATAAAGAATTTTTTGCATTCACTAATTTTTCTAGATGATGCCGTGAAATCAAAACTATAACAATGAGAAATCATATTTTAATCAATTATTAACTCAATGTCGACACATTCAGTGTTCATTCTTTATGGCTGTTCAATATTTCAAAGCATTAAGCACAAACATTAAATCAAATCTATCAACACTTTCATTTTCAGTGGTTTTAGTCGTCAACAGTTGAACGTTATGCTTTATCAAGTGAATTTACCAATGAGCATTAATGAACTTTACACACAATATCAGCAATTAGGTGAACATGGAAAAATAATAGTTGATTTAAATAAAGGAGGTGTTAAATTTGATTAACTTTTTATAATTAATTTTTATTTTTTATTTATAATTAAACATGACAGAAATAGCAAATCTTCTACAGGTTCCATTAAAACAAGGAACAAACAAAAAGGGTGCATATAATAGAACTATGAAAGTTCCAGACGGAATGAAAGAATTAGTTCATATTGTTGCCGGTCTTCAAAAGGATGTTAAACAAATGAGAAACGTTTTAACATTACCAGAAGCTCAAGCATATGCCAAACGTCATGGTCCAAATTGGGAAGCACACGAAGCAGACATTACGGGTCCAAATGGAAAACCCGATGGTATAAATGAAGTTTTCGTTACTGATGGTCAAGGTAATATTAAAGTCATAAATGGGTATAAATTAACTATATCTGATTATCCTAAACGTAAAGCATATAATGAACGTTATCCTATGCAATTTGATGAAAATGGAAAAGCTGTTAAACAATACATTGGAGAAGGTGAAAATGATTAGTTTTAAAATTATTTTTATTTTTTTATTCCTATATAAAAGACAGCAACAAACAACAACAACAACAACTATATCGTTTCTGATGAAAAAGTTATTGATTCATTAGCTGAGGAATTAGTTGTGGCAGAAACTAAAACCCTCAACGAAAGAATTGGTGAAAACAAGATTGATTTACATAACTACCTCAAACATGATGGAGGAAGAGGAAGGAAAACTGGTGTGGCTTTATTAGTAAATAAAATTTCAAATTTAACGATTATAGATGTTGATATCAATAAATCATACAATGATGAACTTAAAGAAACAGTTAGAAAAGACATTTTATCAAAACTTTCGGATAAAGATGTTATCGTTAAAACTGCATCAGGAGGTCTTCACATTTATTGCAACACTAATTTCTTCTATGCAATTTCGAACAGAATGATTAAATGTTATTCCTGCAATGATTATGATATTGACATAATGACTTCTATTGATGATTCAAAGCGTTCATTAGTGGTTATGGCTGATTCAAGAGTTCGCAAGAATGCAACAGAACCAATCAATACATACTCATTCATTCGTGGAAGTTATGATTCAACATTAACTAGAACAGTGAATGATATATTAAATGATTTGAATATTAAGGTAAGAGTTGAACAGAAGAATGAAGAAATAAAGAGTATAATGAATGAAAACAAAGATGTAAACATTGACGATAAACTTGCCCAGAGCATAGTTGATGGCATCTGTGATTTTGAAGTACATAATGATGGTGGAAACATGAATTTAGAAAAAGAAGTTACATTATTCACACTGTTTCAAGCAATTAATTCGTTACCGGATCATTTAATTAATGAAGCATACGATAACGTTTATAATTTCTGCAGCTTAACAGAAAATGCAAAAAGTAATTTTGAAAAAGCACGTAGTAGATATGCACATTTAATGACTTCTCCATTTGTTTTAGTGAAGATTCTAAAACTATATCAAAAGGAATATTATGATGAATATGTTTTACCTTTATTACGTAAGCCAAAAATAACATTTGATATAAAACTTGATGACTCGTTTTTGATAACAGATATTAGACGCAGGGCTGAAAATCATCAGTATAAAAACAGTTCTGAAGTAATTGAGGATTTATCACGTGTAATCCGTTTTGTAGATTGTGGAAATAAATATTTCATTCAAAAGGACTATAATATCCACGACAAAATGAATCAAATATCATTCGTTCTTCAATCAAACATGAAAGAGTCACTCAAAATGATTAAATTATTTAAAGAAGAAGGTAAAACCATAACAGCATGGGACGTACTATTAAATCAATTATCCTCATTAACCGTTAAGGGTGTTTGCTTTAAATCTGATTCCCCAGATGTTTTCTCAACGTTTCAGGGTTATAAATACAACATTCTCGAAAAACCAGATTACTCAAAAATTGAGATGTTTATGAATTTCATTAAAGAAGCCATTTGTGATAATAACGATGAAGTGTATAAATACCTTCTCGGTTGGATTGCATCAATGATTCAACATCCAGGAATCAAGAATGAAACAGCAATTATTTTGAAAGGACTTCAGGGAACAGGTAAAAACAGATTTACAGACATTATTTCTGAACTCCTCGCTGGTTATTCATGTAAAAACATTACTGAAATAAGTGAGCTAACGGGTAATTTCAACTCAGTAGTTGAAAATAAAATGTTTCTTGTACTTAATGAACTCAAGAATGTAGGTGAAGACAGACTTGCAAACTTCAACGCTTTGAAATCAATTATTACGGATAATCAAATTAGAATTAATGAAAAGAATCGACCCAGAAGAACAGCTCAGAATGTTGCAAACTTTATTTTCGTAACTAACAACGTCTACCCTGTCAAAATTGAAGTTGGAGACAGAAGATACGTAGTTTTAAGGGTTAATGGTAAATTTAAGGGTCAATTTGATTACTTCAAGAATTTAATGGATTCATGCACAAAGGAATTTTATGATAACCTTTTAACATATTTTATCAATTACGACCTTTCATCATTTAATGTACGAATCATACCGATGACTGAAGCCAAACAAGATTTAATTGAATTATCATCAAATCCTTTAGATGTATGGATAAATACACATTATGATGAATTGTGTGCAGGTATGACGTGTGAAAATGCTCTATTCTGCAAACCATCAGACATGAAAGACAAGAATTTCCAAATGAGCATTAAGGATAAATGTGATAGGAAACAGGTAAGAATAGATGGTAAACAAACATGGTGTTATGTTTTGAAAGAAGAAATGAAAGGATTATATAAACAGGTTGAACCAAACGATAATGAGGATTCATTTACTGACGATGAAATACCTGTAAATGAAGTTTTATAAAGTATGATTGGAATTTATTTTTGCCTTCCTCTTTTCGTACCTGTGTTGTCAAAATGTCATCTTGTCTCATTTTTTAAAAGAAGTTAAATGACCTGGTGGCACATGGTGACCTGGTGACACCTTCAGTTCTTCAAAAATAAGTTATTTTTGCCTTCCTATTTTCGTACCTGTGTTGTCAAAATGTCATCTTGTCTCATTTTTTAAAAGAAGTTAAATGACCTGGTGACACATGGTGACCTGGTGACACCTTCAGTTCTTCAAAAATAAGTTATTTTTGCCTTCCTCTTTTCGTACCTGTGTTGTCAAAATGTCATGTTGTCTCATTTTTTAAAAGAAGTTAAATGACCTGGTGACACATGGTGACCTGGTGACACCTTCAGTTCTTCAAAAATAAGTTATTTTTGCCTTCCTCTTTTCGTACCTGTGTTGTCAAAATGTCATCTTGTCTCATTTTTTAAAAGAAGTTAAATGACCTGGTGACACATGGTGACCTGGTGACACCTTCAGTTCTTCAAAAATAAGTTATTTTTGCCTTCCTATTTTCGTACCTGTGTTGTCAAAATGTCATCTTGTCTCATTTTTTAAAAGAAGTTAAATGACCTGGTGGCACATGGTGACCTGGTGACACCTTCAGTTCTTCAAAAATAAGTTATTTTTGCCTTCCTATTTTCGTACCTGTGTTGTCAAAATGTCATCTTGTCTCATTTTTTAAAAGAAGTTAAATGACCTGGTGACACATGGTGACCTGGTGACACCTTCAGTTCTTCAAAAATAAGTTATTTTTGCCTTCCTCTTTTCGTACCTGTGTTGTCAAAATGTCATGTTGTCTCAAACTTTAGAACGGCATAATTTAAATTTTTATTTTTATCATAAATGAATACCCCACAAGCTCAAAATTTACCACGAATCATAACAAGGGAGGAAATGATAAAAATGATGCAAGAACATGTTAAAAATAACAAACCACTAAAATTGAGAAAATGTGGTTATGCAGTAATGATGGAAAGAGAGATGTTGTCGAAGAGGAATAAAAATTAAATTTGGATAGAGTTTAAAAATTCATCTTTATTAAATTCATCTCTTCCAACCAATTTATTTATTCTATTAAATTCTTTTATTTTTGCTTCACTCAGTTTAATGATTGAACGGTAAGTTTCTAATTTTTCGATTATTTCTTTCCTCTCTTTATCGTTTTCAGTTCCATTAGTTTTATTGTTTTCAACCCCACCGCATTGCGACTTCTTTTTGTAATAGCATATTTTTGATTTAATTCTGTTTAGTTTCTTTTTATATTCATTGTCTGGACTCTTGACTGCTTTGTTGTCACTCATTTCTTACGAAATAAAAAAAATTAAATATTATTTAAATATAATGGAGTAATAAAATAAATCGGAATTTCTATTAATTTATTGTCAACTTCAACTAATGCATTGCCGTTAATATATCTAACAAATTCAGCTATTGTGTCAAATCTTCGTCTTCTTTTTGTCATTGATTTATCGGTTTTTCCATAATCGAGATGAATCAAAACTTTATCCCCTTGTTTAAAATTCATGAGCCCCGAATTAATTTGTTCACGTTTAACATCATTCAACCTTTCCATTTGCTTTCTAATATATTCCCATTCTTTTGAAATATCATTTTTCATTTCCACCGGTTTCATGTTTATAGTTCTATGCCATGTATTATTGTAATAATATACTAACTGCTGTATGATGAAGTCATGATTTCCATCCCAGTATATCTGACCGTTAACCCCTAACGCATCTCTAAGAGTTCTCATTACCGCATCAACTATTTTATTATGAAACGTATATGGAGAGGATGAAAAGTAAAAATTAATTTGTGGGAAATAATGAGCCATAGCTGCCTGAAATCCTTTATCACCATCACCCCTGATATTATCTACTCTTTCATGATCTAGTAAGTACTGAATAGCTCTTCTTGTTTCCTGTTCTGTTTTCCCTTTCACTGGAATGCAATATAAATATCTAGTGTTAATGTTAATGGCAAATAAATAAGTAACGTTTCCTTTTGAATATTCCAGATGATCGATTTCGTATGAATATGGATATGGAGCAAATGAAGGGCGACTAAATTTTTCCTTTAACGGTTGAATTTTCGGGTCAATTGGTTTATTTAATATCTTGAAATCCTTTTTAAAACCTTTTTGTTTCTTTGGTGATTGAAATGGATATAATAAAGTGAATGATGAAGGATTAACTGAAGGAGGAGGCGGTACTGTCGTTGGAGGTTTTGGTGTTGCAAGTGGTTTAATTTTATCTGCTTTGATTTTGGATTTCATTCCTTCCTTCATTAATTCTGGATGTATTCTATTCATTTGTTTTAAATATGTTGTATATAAAGGTTTGATATACTTTCCCGCTTCGAGTTTATGTTGAAGGATGAATTCCAAAAGTTGATCTTCATTTAAAAGTCGGGCTGAATATGGTTTAACTAATGAATCATAAATTAAAGCTTGTGCTTCATTTATGGTCTGAATGACCTGGGCGTTTTGCACCTTTTGTTTTTGTGGCTCAGGATTATATAAATTATATAATTCATCAATATCTTCTTCTGTTAATACTTTATTTTTGAAATCTTTCAACTGTTTAAGCTGTGATTTAGTTTTTCCCTTTATATATTCATTATTTTTAATTTTGTCTTTAATTTCAGAAATTATTTTATTATGATATTTCAAAATTTCATTTTTATAATATGGATAATAATATTCCATATCATCACCCGTTATATTGTTATCATATTTTTGGAGATATGCTTTTAAATCATAATAATTAAGAAAATTTTGATTAAATACTAAATCATCAATTAAAATTTTTAAATCTGTGTTATTCATTTATATAAAAATAAAATCAATGTTTTAAGGGTGCCCGCCTCTTTGAATCATAGTATCAAAGCCATCATTAACGGTTCCTTTTGTCTCTTCTGTGGCATTTCATTAAAAATAAAATTTTAAATTGTATTAAATAAATGGCATACAACATCCATTTTCACAACATACAGCCTTAGTGTGTGCTCCTGTTAATGCAGTCTTACGATTGTTAAGCGAGTCATTGACCCGTTTTAAGTTGTAAATTAATATTCTGACCATCAATATCACTTTATCATTTATTATATCCAAATAATTTTTAGGTGTTAATTGTTTATTTTGTCGTAAACTAACACCTTTCATTTTTTGTGCAATCTTTTTAAAATCACTTCCATCAATTGAACCGTTGAATGATGTATAACACTTAGGACATAAAGCAACCATGTTATCACCTTGTTTCTCAATTGCTAAACCCAATAACTTCTTCTCATGTGCTTTTTCTTCAGCTTTATTCTTTAATTTAGGTTTAAATTTCTCATCAAAACAAAAGAAATCAAAAGGTGCGAATTTGAAAATGTTTTTATCATAAAATTGTTTATCTGTAACAATTGCTTGAAATGCTTGAGTGTTAGGAAGACTTGGATCGCCAGCAATAGCCCAATAAGATGAATCAGTATCACCTTCAATGAAATGAAAACGATTAACATCCATGCATTTATACATAAAATCATAAATGAAACAAAGGAGGATGAAATAAATGAAAGTGGAGATGTTCAACAAAAAATAAACGTTGTTAAACCAATTACTGAAATAAAAATTTTTCATCTGTTGAAGAATTTAATGACTATTATGCTAATAATAAAAAATTATTTGAAGAATTGACAACATGTAAATTGAATAAAATGTTTAAAGTTGATGGATTCAAAATTTCAAAAATAAAAGGGGTGATTAGTTTGAAATCTATTCCTCAATCAAGAATCACCTCATTAATGAAAATAGATGATTTAACAAAAAGAATAGAAATTATTGAAGAGCGAATGAATCAAATAATTGATTTCATAAATTCAAATAATCATTAGTTTCTAATTTCTTTTTTTTCTCGTTTATGAGGTCTTTGATTATGACTCCATTGATTCCATGAAATTAAAAATTCACAATCTTCATTTTTTAAATTGAAGTTTAACCCATTCAGGATTTAAACAATGTTTAATTAATCGCGGAATATCTGACATCATCTATATATAGCTTCTTTTTTTTATTTCATTACATCATTTATGGGTTGAGTGTAAATGTCTTACGATTTGAAAATTTTTTAAATCTTGATTTATTCAAAAACGTAAGAATAAAAACCGTAAGAATCATACATTTTTTTACTTCATATGTTAAAAAAAATGATACAAAATCGTTCAATATCGTGTGAATTCTTACGTTTACAAAAAAAGTCACACAACCCATCCTATCCTACTACTCCTACTACTTCAAGAACACAATTAGGGATAATCTATTTGCTAGCATATTTACTGTTGTTTTTACATGTATAGCATTCGTTGATAGTTATCCATGTAACATTTTCTTTATCTTTATGATGAAATTTTTAATTATGCAGTATTTTCATGTTTGAACGAATAATTTGAAAATACATATGTTAGAAAATACACACTCTTAATAATTTAACAAGAATTGACCAATTATTTTAATTCCTTTTGTGAAGTGCGTTAACTCTGATTTTGTGATGTAATAGAATAATACCAAGACAATATAGTAAGTATCTTACTGTGAAATAATACTTACATCTTAAAATGTTTTTTCATAAACTTTCATACACTTACAATAATTATTACCAGTACTATAATTATCATTGGCCAGTGTTAGCATGACACGATGTTAGATTGCTTTTTACTGTTTCCAATTAAATTCATAAAGATTAAAATACCATTATATTATAATTTAATCATAACAAATATACATCTTTAGTCCATTTCTATTCATATTACCCAAAATAAAAGAAATCTGATAGGGGCATCCAAAATTTGATAGATAATATTTGAATAGTTTACATCATTATGCCACTCAGATCCGATGTTTTCAAAAGGTGAAAGCAAAAAGTTTTAAATACGACTTATACTGGAAATTATTTTTGG